CCTGTGATATACAGGAGGTCAGACTAGATGATCTAATGCTCTCTTTTGGCCTTAAACTCTTAAACTGATGTTCTCAGCACAGAGACTAGGTCCTGAAAGCGGATGGAGACTGAACTTGCCTCTCCGTTCAGTAAGGTCCCTCCAAGTCAAGGTTGAGGCGGTGCACTGGTAGCACAGTGCAGGGAAGTTTGCATTGCCGCTGCCTATGCTGTCCTTTTGCAATAGATAAATACAGCAGAGGACTTCAGTCTCCAGGACTGTCTGTCCAGTCCCTTCCACCAGCACTACATTTATATACATTTTAAAGGACTCTGGATTAGTCTCAAGTTGGCACAAGGAGACAGTGCAGGTTCTTTGTGAGTGAGAGAGAAGGCTGAAAGTGGCCTGTCTGTGGGTGATAAGAGAATGTTTTCTTTTATGGGCAATTCTCCTCAAAATCTGGAATTGGAATTTTTTGCTACCATTCTCCCCATGCATAAGAAATTCCCCCTCTCCTTTAGACAAGGAAAGGAGATGAACTTGGGTTTGGGGGTAACTCTAAAAATCTGCAGAGACCCTCTTTCTGAACCCCACAATTTTCACTTGGACTCTTCAGAAACCGAACGTGATGAAAACACTGGCTCGAAATGCCAGGGGGAAACATTTAGCAAGTGGAGCCATGGATTTGATGTGTCAGTCCCAGGACGTCTCTATAGGCTGCTACCAACTCTCAGCATAACCTGTGACTAAATCCAAGCCATAGTACCTAGAACTTTACGGCACTGGGATCACGCAGGTCTGACACTGCTGAGAGCCAGCAGTTGAACCAGCACTCTGGTCACCGTATGCCCAATTAGTTTCCGCGGAGAAGGGCCTGGTTCAGGGAAGCTGGGGCTAGTTACGAGATCGGTCTGAGCCACAGGGTGCTAAAGACCTAGTTCACTCATTAGCCGGAAGAGTAGAAAGACACATGGGGAGAAAGGGCAAAGGGGGGATGAGAGAGACTGGGAAAGGCTGGTAGGCCCAGGGTAAAGGGAGTGCTCTGCGCGTAGAGATCGCTTCCTTCTGGCAGAAGGGGATGGGGTTTGAATGTCCCTTCTAGCAGAGCTGCTGCACAAGACTGTAAAGAGGTGGTGGTGGTTGGGGGTAACACAAATAAACGACATGCTGGTGTTTATAAACCGGAGGTGTTAGAGCCATTGGTACAAGAAGACAGGAACGGAGGGCTGGGCCCTGCCCCAGAGTCTAAGAAGGATTTAGTGTCTGATCAGCTCAGCTGTGAATCTTATTGGAATGTTGCCCTTTCATAGCTGCGGGATGCTGAGAAAGAAGAGAGGCACCAAGGGCTCGATCCTGCAAGATGCTGAGCGCTCCAGGCCCGCTGACGTCTGGATTAGGCCCACTCGTGCTTAAAGTGAATCAGGTGCTCAAGTGCTTTGCTGGATTGGGGCTAGAGGGCTCAGAACTTTGAAGGACCCAAGTCCAGCCAAGCAGTTCAGAGAACTGTGCGCGACAGGGAAATGTGGCCACCTGCTTCCTCCATATGTGACATCCCCAGCCCCCAGCCCTCTGTCTCCCAAGGAGTTCCAAACCTGTGGGGAAGGTTACAGAGAAACACAATAAACAAGGACCCACGTACAAAACATCCTGCTCCTTTCCACCGCGCTCCTCCCTGTGAGAGGTGAAGAGACCTGTGCTCAACCATCCGCTCTCGCAGAAAGGGACCCGGCCACCGCCGAAGCGCACGGAGCAGGATTTAACTCACAGCAGAATTATTCTGTTCTTTGTTGGTAGAAAATGGTGAGAAAAATAAATGCCTGTTTGGTCAAACTTCTTCATTTAGTTTCATGGCCTATAACATGCACCAGCAGCTCTTTATTACTCCGTATTGTGAATTAAGCCTCAACAGTGCTCAGTCTTGTACAGGACACAGGAGAAGACATAGTCCCTGCCCCAAAGAGCTTCCAGTCTAAATAGGACTCTTGCTATCTGACTCGCTTGTCTACTAGCTGGTCTGCACGGGACAAACAAGGCAGAATATTTATGGAGTAAGTATCATCCAAGGGCAGGGTAGTTACAATAGAAGTACTATGTAGCAGCAGGCTATTTACAAAGGCAGTACAACGTACAGTGCTAGGTGAGCACCGCATAACTGGTAGGGCATTTTCAAGGAAAGTCCCATGTGGTAAGCAGACTCTGTGGTACTTTGTATGTGGTATTGTTGTTGTAGCCATGTCAGGCCCAGAATATTAGAGAGACAAGGTGGGTGAGGTAATATCTCTTATTGGCCCAACTATGTTACTTATCCTGTAAGTCATACAAGGAGAGGAGAGGGAGAAAGAGGGAGGGGGCAAATGGAGGAGCTGGAGGAGTGACAAAATGAGGGGAGGTGGAAGGAGGAGAGAGGAAAGGTAATCCACAAACTGGGTGCAGTTTTGGGGAAGTGACATCTCTTTAGTTACTACTATTTAAAACTGTCATTTGGCTCCAGACTGGCTCAGTGCAGCCCCCTGGTATGGAGACTGCATGGGGCCAAATCCATCCCTGCTGTAACTATTGATTTAGCCCATGGTGAAAGCTCCTGGGCTTGCTGCCAGCACAGACCATATGACAGAGTTGCCCCAGTGAGAACAGCCACTTTCTTAGGACCGGCTGGAAAGAGGGAGCTACTGCGGGGGTGGAAGGAGGGACACTCATGGTACAAGGAGCACACTTAACTCAACCCCACGCTTTTGGTCCTCTTGTGTACATGATCAGGGGAGACTCCCAGCCCCACCCCCAAGGAACCGACCATTGACGGCTCCTCGGAGAATGTCTGGGAGGAATATAACTGGAGACACACATGCAGAGCAGGTCTCTTCCCGGGTGCAGACTACATCTGAGGTTTGTGGGTAGTCTGCCGCAGATGGGAGCCTCCGAGGAAAAGAGCCCTGCCCCTTGCTTTGAGCAGTAGCACTTACCACGCGATGTATCATGGAGAAGTCTACTTGTAAATAATTATTGGATGAAAAACATGCCAAGCTTCTGTGAGAGTTATTTGAGCAGCTTGGCTTTTCATCTCCAGAGTGCTTTACAGACATGCACTGATTAATCCCTGCAACACCCCCTGTGCTTTGGGGTGGGGGGGTATTACTATCCCTTTTGACAAGTGGGGAAACTGAGACAGAGAAGGTAAGGGACTTGCCCAAGGCTGCAGAAGGAGCTCCTGCTGCTAGACCAGGGTTTCTCAAGCTGGGGTCACTGGACCCCTGGGGGTCCACGAGGGCACTCCAGGGGTTCCGTGAATCATGTCCAGATCAACTCCTCCTCCTCCCTCCCAGTGCCTCCTGCACGCTGTGGAACAGCTGTTCAGCAGTGTGCAGGAGGCTCTGGGAGGGAGAGGGAGGAGTGAGGAGGGGATGGGAAGAGGAGGGGCAGGGTTGGGGCAGGAAGAGGTGGGGTGGGGAGGTCTTGGGGGAAGGGGTGGAGTGGGGGCAGAGCCTTGGGCTGAGCAGGGAGCTTGGGGTCCATGAAAATTTAAAAATCAAAATGGGGGTCCTCAGGTTGCTAAAGTTTGAGAACCACTGTGCTAAACTGTGAATCTCTCCCCGAGGGGGATGCTGGAGAGAGTCATTTGTTAATTTATAACATAGGGATTTATCAGGTGCTCATGATACTGACGGGGACGGAATCAGTGTCTTACATGCAGTGATTTTTATCAGGCACTTTATACGGAGGAACCCAGTTTCACTCTGAGGGCAGATGTATGCTCTAAGGAGCAACGCTTTTTTTCCAGTGAGTAGAGACTTTTCATCACACTCAGGAATTGACCCTTAATATGTTCAGTTCACCTTTCCACCCCTTTCCTGCTCATTGCATAATTCCTCTTCCTCCAGCCAGAGGGCGCTAAGAGTAGCCGGGGCTTGGGTGCACGAAACCTCCCATTCTTCCAGCAGACACACACACGCTAAGTGCGAGCTCCCTGGGTCATGGCCACTGTGAGTAACACCTGCTGGCTGAGTCAATTCAGATGCCTGTCCCGGCTTCCCATGCGTCCTATGGCATGACTGAAGGAGTTAAAGGGAGACAGCCTGGTTCCTCAGTGCCTCTCCTTTTCTCTGGAGCCTGCATTTCCCTGGCCAGCAGCAATCCGCGGCCGACTGCCCATTGTCTTGTGGCTGCCACTTCTCTGAGTGCAGGGCCCAGATCCTGTGCTAATCTCCTCCCCTCCCCCTTGCCGCAGGAGTTGTACTCTCTACCCACGAGGCCGTGCTACAAGCCCTGTAAATGGCATCCCATGACATGCTCTGTGGTGCCGGAACTGCTTCTGAAAATGCAGCAGCACGCCTTGCAGGTGGGCCGAGCCTCCAGTACTACGGGCAACAGATGGCCATGGAGAAGGGTTTCTGTGCCAGTGAAATACTGCTGTCTCAGGATGGGGTGAGGATGGGCGACTGGTTGGGCTGCTCCTGTACCGGGGATGTATAGTTTAGTGGGAGGTTCTCTGCATCCCACACTAATTCCGGGCTGGATTCTTACCAGCTGGGTTCTTTTTCTTTTAAAAATGCAACAGTTACGTGTTTCCTTTGCAAACCAGACAGGAGAGCAGGACATGACCCTGATAAATCACAAACCCCATGCGTATGGAGCCCATGATGGCTGGGGGCACTGCAGACTGTAGGGGGTTAGGATGGGCTTTTAATTCTTCAGTAAATTCGGGCTGTATGTCTCTGGCTCACCGCAGAATTTGAACCAATGCAGTTCTCAGGGATCAAATCAAAGCCAGGCTCTGGGTTTGGGGAGGTCGATAATTTACTGGCCTCTTGAACAAGACGGGGCCACCAAGCGAAATGATTCCCCATTCCCACCCCCTGCAACTCCCCACCCTCTTTTTTTGCCACGGGGAGATAAAATTTGTACTCTGCTGTTACAGCGCTAACCCTACCAGGCTGCTGAGCTCAGTGAGGCTCTGGAGGGAAGACCATAGTGAAGTCTTGTTGCCCGTCCTTCCCCGTCCCTCCCCTGCCCCTGTGTCCGCTCACATGGTGGAGTTTGGATACTGCACCCAGCCCACCTCCTTGTACGCGGCAGTCACGTGGGTGTAGATGAGGCTCTTCACCTTGGTCCAGGCTCTCTGCACCTCTGGGGTGAAGTCGTTGGCATATTCTTCGGCGATGACCTCCAGCATGACGCCGGTGAAGAACTGGGGGAGAGGGAGACAGGAAAGGGTTGCTAGATTCTCCAGGAAACAAGGGGAGAGGGGAGGTGGCCAGGCGTCACTGGGGCAGCCCCTTTTCCAAAGCAACCCTGCTGCTGAGTTCGGGGGGCTTCTGCCATCTTGCTGAGCCGGTCCATAGGGATACTTTACCCTGCCTTGCACTACCCCCAGCCATTGCTTTGAGAGACTGACAGATGCTCATTGGGCTCCAGGAGATGTAAAGCCGTGTTATTAGCCCTGCCATGCCAAGGGAGAAACTGAACCCCAGGCAGGTTGAGAGCTACGTTGTCTTGAGCCAGCTCATTTTAGGGGCCCCACTTTTTGGGTTCCCAACTAGAGACATACAAGGGCCGATTTTTTCCAAAGAGTTCTGCACGGCAGGTATTGGGCTGGTTGGAAAATCGGGTCACAAGCGTCACAGTGGGAGTTGCTGGGTACTAGGCACTTTGAAATCTGTCCTGTAGTGTCTGCTTTTTAGAGGTGTTAACCGCCCACAGCTCCCACTGCCTTCCTGAGTCAGTGCTACTGAAAATCAGTACTGAGATCCCAGGTATCTCACACTGCCTGCCCACAGGTGGCCAGAAGGAGGGGCCACATTTGAAAAGTTTGGCCTAAGTGTCTTGCCTGAGGCCACAAGTCGTCGAGGGACAGAACCCTGGCGTCCTGCCTCCCACGCCTCTGCTCTAACGGCACAGCTGCTGAGCTCTGGACAGGTGCCCTCTCTAGGTGCTCGGCAACTTCTCCTTTCTGTCCCTCCGGGTGTCCTGATCACTACCGCCTGCATTGTGCTTCCCTGTATAGCGCCTTCGCCTTC